GAAGAGCACTGGTCAGCTATTGGGTAGGCTGTCTCTCTATTTGGCTTCCTCTGATTTTTTTTTTTCTTTTAAAATTACACCTCGGTTATGGGCTTTGGGGAAAAGGGAAATATTCTTATCACTTCAAGTGAGAGTATGTGCTATCAACATGACATCTCTCTCTTTTTTTTTTTAAGAGTTTTTTTTGCTATAGGGCATGTGTGCGTGCCAGAAAGAGAGAGACAGAGACAGAAAGAGAGAAATCACCCCCCAGGGGGGATGGTCACGCAGCAATCCCTTCTCCTCCATTCTCCTCCCAGGATCTTGGGCATGTCCTCCCAGGATCTTGGGCATGTATGCACACACGCCGGGAGAAAATAAAAGCCACTGGGTCCGGGGCTCGAACCACAGTCGACCACATGGGAGTCCAGCGACATAGCCACTACGCTAACTGCTGTTCCCAACATGACATATCTCTGATGCAATAAACCTTAATCGCTTGGTTCAGGTGGGAGCTACCAGGTTTCTCCACTGTAAAATAACTATTTCCCCTTTCCATACCCTACTCTTTAGAGTAAAAGATAGTCGTTATGTTCAACCCTCACTCAAGGTTAGGGAAATTAAGTTTCACTTCCTGGAAGGGGTTATCTACATATATTACTTGGAATTCTTCTGAAAGGAAGAATTATCTTCCCCCTCTATTTATTTGTTTAATCATGTATTTGTATCATTATGAACTTGTGTTTAATTTATACTTTGAGTTAGAATCCAGTATTACATTATTTTGTTGCTCAAATTATTCTGCTTTTGGCCATTGGGAGCTCTTTCAGTTGGTTCCGCCCTTGAAAATACCACCATTACGGTGGGTCTTTTGTTTGTATTCTTTTTAGCACTTTCTGATTTTCTGGTACTAAAAGATGCTTCAGGCTTAGTTTGTATATTCACTACCCCTGCCCTACAGTTAGTTATTTTTAGAATACAAAGACCCTGGTTCCTTTTACTGATAATGGCATTAGAAACTGGGAGCCAGCAGTTAGCGTAATGGCTATGTCGCTGGACTCCCACGTAGTCAACCGCAGTTCACGTCCCGGACCCGGTGGCTTAAAACTCACACCGGGCGCGTGTGCGTGCGTGCCCAAGATCCCGAGAGGAGAATGGAGGAGAAGGGATTGCAGCGTGACCATCCCCCCTGGGGGGTGATTTCTCGCTTTCTGTCTCTATGTCTCTGTCTGGCGAGCACACATGCCCTATAGCAAAAACCTCTCCAAAAAAAAAAAAAGAAAAAGAAACTAAGGTGTGGTGGTTAAAGAGGCTGGATCCCACATGGCTGACTGCAGTTTAAGTACTCCCATGCTTGGTAGATTGAAAAACATGCATGTCCAGACATGTTTGTGACTCAGAATTTTACAGGAAGCCCTCACCATGATAAGTTGGTTTTCCCAAAGAAGTATAACCCTGAAGAGAGATAAAGAAATTACTACCCTTATTTTAAGTATCTGAATCTTCTAAGCCTTGAATTTGATTTCAGGAGAGCCTCAAACTAAAAAAAGCACGGGTAATATACTTTCAATTGGGCTTTCATATAAATCTTACAGATCATTTTAAAAATGACCAACACACAATAAAAGATAACTAGATACATAACATTAGCACCAGACATAAAGAAATAGAACTGTAAAGAATTAAGGTATTGGAATTGTTAGTTACAGACTATAAAACAACTTTGTTTCGACATATAGATAAAAGACAATATTGAATATATCTTTAAGAAATAGGAAACTAAGGGACCAGCAGATGGCATAATGGTTATGTCACTGGACTCCCATGTAGTCAACCACGGTTCAAGTCCCAGATCTGGTGGCTTAAAACTCACACTGGGCATCTGTGCATGCATTCCCAGTATCTTGAGAGGAGAATGGAGGAGAAGGGATTGCAGCATGGCCATTCCCCCCGGGGAGGTGATTTCTCACTTTCTGTCTCTCTATCTTTCTCTCTCTCTGGCAAGCACACGTGCCCTTCAGCAACAATTTCTTAAAAAAATAATAAATGGGAAACTAAAACATGATGTCTGTAATATGAAAAACGATTTTAAAAGATAAAAATTGCTACAACTGGAATTTTAAATTTTGGGGGTAGGTTAACCAGTACATTGGATGCACCTGAAGGAAGAATCAATAGACTTAAAGCAATACCATGTGAGAACACCTGGGCCAGTTTTAATACTACCAATCATCCCAGTCTACTTTATGTTCATTTCCAATGCAGCTTGACACCTACAACTGACCAATGGTCTCGGACATTTAGTGAAGAAAAGCTGCTAAAAATTTCTCAGAAGCCTTGAGATCCATACAAAGGAATGTGGTGGAAATGGAAGAAGAAGCATTTGTGCCGGCTTGACTACCTTATTCCCACTGAGAGCACCGGAAAAGCCAGAAAAGGGGTTGAATGCTCAGGGTTGTAAGCTCAGAGATCTACCAAAAAAAGTCTTTGAGATGTCCTATCGCCTCAGCAACATAATTCTAGCCTTACAGTCAGTTTGTTCTGTGGGCTGGCCCCATGGTCTAGTGATTAAGGGAGGCAGATCCCACATGGCCAACCACGTGGTATAAATTCCGGCTCTAGTGGCTTGAAAAACATTCTGTGTATGTGTGTGTGTGTGTGTGTGTGTGTGTGTGTGTACAGCAAATCCTGACAGGATGGAGAAATGGAGAAGGAATTGTGACCACATCCCACGGGGGAATATTTTCCTCCCTTTTCTTCTCACTGTCTCGTTGTCTCTGGTAAGTGCACACTCTAGATTTTTTAGAAAGTTTCTTCTAATATGGTTGGATCCTCACTTCTTATCTCCCAGACCGCTATGAGGATCTAGCCAATAAAAAATGTAGAACTCAGGACCAGCAATGGTGGGACAATAATGCAATGCTCCCTGATACTGGAGCCACAGGGAAGGTCCCCAGGTTCACATCCCAGGACCTCCTTGTCCACACTGGGTGCATGTTCATGCCTGTGATCTGGGAAGAGAGAAGCTGGGAGATCACAGCAGGAGCACCTGCAGGCAGTCTCTCTCTCTTCCTCTCTTTCCCCCATCTCTCTTTGTGTGTCTCTCTCTCATTGAATGAATGAATGAATTAAATAAAAAACTTTTAAGTCTGGAATGCATGTAGTATTATTAGAATGACAAGTTTTAATATTTTATGTGAAAATTTTAAGAGATTTTTGCTATAGGGCATGTACACTTGCTAGAGAGACAGAGATGGAAAATGATAAATCACCCCCCAGGGGGGATGGCCATGCCACAATCCCTTCTCCTCCATTCTCCTCTTGAGATTTTGGGCACACACGCACACATGCCCGATGTGTTTGTTTGTTTGTTTGTTTGTTTGAGAGGTTTTTGTTTGTTTGTTTTGTTTTGTGTTTTGTTTTGTTTTGTTTTGCTACAGGGTGCATGCGCTCACAGAAAGACAGAGACAGAAAGGGAGAAATCACCCCCCAGGGGAGAAGGCCACACACAATCCCTTCTCTTCCATTCTCCTCTTGGGATCTTGGCACGCACGTACATGCACCCAGCATGAGTTTAAGCCACCAGGTCCGGGACTTGAACTGTGGTTGACTACATGGGAGTCCAGCGACATAGCCATTACACCAACTGCTGGTCCCAGTGCCCAGTGTGAGTTTTAAGTCACCGGTCTGGGACTCAAACTGCGGTCGACTATGTGTGAGTCCAGTGACATAACCATTATGCCATCTGCTGGTCCCTTACATGAATTTTTTTGAATATAACATTCTTTTGATGTATTATTTATCTGATTTTATATCTAATATGATATCACTGAAATACCTAGTGGCACATATTTTAACTCTCTTATATAGACTCCGTCTCTTTTCTTCTAATTAAAAACTGGTCTTCCCTCTTTCCAAAGTGGATATTCTCCTTGTGGAATGTAGTCTCAAAGATAGCTGCCACCAGTCCTTTCCTTCTCCGTCCATATAACTACTCCTCCCTTGAGAGAGGAGGTCTCATCACACCCTGATCTGTACTGGCATTGGGACTTCCTCTGGCCAACAGAATTCAGCAGAAGTAGCACTGTTAGCTCTGGTCCTCATCTTTAAGAAAACTGGCATCTTCCTTTCTCACTTTCCGAAACCAGCTGTCACAGAAAACATCTGACTACCCTGAGACTACCATACCATGAATAAGCCCTAGCTGAGCCACACGGAAAGAGACCATTGCCCAGCAGCCGCCAGCTGTTCCTGCCATCCCAGTTAAGGAGCCAGTCCTAAGAGTGAAGGGGCCATCTTGGATACTCAACCGCAGCAGGCACCATGTGGAGCAGAAGAACTATCCAGCATAGTCCCGTTCTTGTCACTGACATAAAAATACCACAGGGCTTCCTTCTAAATATGAAGAATGCATTACTAGGTTGTGGTGCGAAGTAGAGAAGAAGGAAAATCATTCACACTTTTTTTTTTTTTTTTTTTGGCACCAAGATAAGGGAATAATTTTTAAGGCCCTCCTGTGCTTTTCACGTCAGGAAGTTCATGTGTGGTGAGTCGTCCCCTTGTCACTTAAACTCTGAAGTATAATACAACTGCAGTAGGAATAAAAACACACATGTAAAGTCCCAGGGGCATAAAAGTCCATGAGCAGGAACTGATAAAAAATTGTCCGGACTATTTTCTAAGAAAGCAAAGAACCAGGGGCTGATGTAATAGGGTATCTTCTACATCCAGGGGTCCTTACCTGGCTCCTGATCTTCTTGGCACCAAGATAAGGGAATAATTTTTAAGGCCCTCCTGTGCTTTTCACGTCAGGAAGTTCATGTGTGGTGAGTCGTCCCCTTGTCACTTAAACTCTGAAGTATAATACAACTGCAGTAGGAATAAAAACACACATGTAAAGTCCCAGGGGCATAAAAGTCCATGAGCAGGAACTGATAAAAAATTGTCCGGACTATTTTCTAAGAAAGCAAAGAACCAGGGGCTGATGTAATAGGGTATCTTCTACATCCAGGGGTCCTTACCTGGCTCCTGATCTTCTTGCTGGCCGCAGGAGTCAGGTATTTATGCTCCAAATACCAGCCCCGCTCCTGGAACACCAGCTTGGTTCCATATAACAGACAAAACTGAAGGGTGGAGGAAGAGGAAAGAAACAGGCAAATATAACATATTAGAGAATGCAGAATCTAAAGAGAAATAACATAATATTACATTTCATAAAAATCCTAAAACTTAACACCTTCTTAATGTAGAGTCATGTTTTGGACATGCAATGTATACTTGATTTATTTATTTATTTTTTTACCTGAGAGTGCATGCCCTTTCCAGAGAGACAGAGAGATAGAGGGAGAGAGAGAAAGCACCCTCCAGTGGGGCACAGTCATTCCACGATCCCTTCTCTGTTTCTCCATCTTGTTGGGATTTTTTGGCATGCATGCACACATGCCTGGAATGTTTCTCAAGCTGTTGGGGACAGGATTTGAACTCCACAGTCGGCTATGTGAGCTCTAGCTCCCTCAACCACTGGGCCATGGGGCCAGTCCTACACATTTCATTTTATTTTATATTTTCTAATTTGCTATAGGGTATATGCGCTCTCCAAAGAGAAAGTGAGAAAACATCCCTCAGGAGGGATGACCATCCTGCAATTTCTTCTCCATTCTCCTCTTAATATGTTGGGCACACATGCACATGTGCCCTGTGTGGTTTATTTTGAGAGGTTTTTGCTATAGGGCACATGCGCTCGCCAGGAAGACAGAGAGAGAGAGAGAAAGTGAGAAATTACCCCCCAGGGGGGATGGCCATGCCACAATCCCTTCTCCTCCATTCTTCTTTTGGGATCTTGGGCACACACATACACGCGCCTGGCGTGAGTTTTAAGCCACTGGGTCTGGGACTCGAACTGCAGTCAACTACATGGGAGTCCAGCGACATAGCCGTTACACTAACTCTTGGTCCCTGCCTAAAAAACATTCTACAGGGAACCAGCAGTTAGCGTAATGGCTATGTCGCTGGACTCCCACATAGTTGACCGCGGTTCGTGTCCCAGACCCAGTGGCTTAAAACTCACGCCGGGCGCGTGTGCGTGCATGCCCAAGTTCCCGAGAGGAGAATGGAGGAGAAGGGATTGCGGCATGACCATCCCCCTGGGGGGTGATTTCTCGCTTTCTGTCTCTATGTCTCTCTCTGTCTGTCTGGCGAGCACACGCACCCTACAGTGAAAATCTCTCAAAAAAAAAAAAAAAAAAAACCATTCTACAGAGAATTTAAATGATGTACAAAAGCAGAACAAACAGTACAATGGGTTCCCATGTATACATTCCCCCAACTAGAGAAATATCAATTCATGGCCGACCTTACTCCATCTGTAACCTCAGCTAGTTCTCCCTGCCCCAGGTTATTTATAAGCAAAGTCCACACAGAATAGCTTTTAAAATATGCATGTAGTATTTTGTTTGCTTTTCTTCTCAATTCATGAAAGAATACTCTCAACATACATTCTGAATAATATCTTGGTATTTTCCATGGAGCATAATCTGCTTTCACAGAATTACCATCCCTCATTTACATTTTATCTCAATATGTTTTTCCTATTATGTGATGGTCACCTACACACAGAGCTCCTGTATGACATCATGGGCACTGAGTGACAATAAATGAGTTTTCTCATAAGAACAAGTAATTTTTACTTGAATATTTATTTAACTCTTAATATTTCATTATTACAAAATCACAGTTTAACTTTCAATATTTCATAATTACAAAATCACACCAAAATGGGGAGCATAGTATTTGGATCTTCATGTCTCCCTCACCCAGATTTAATATTAATAGTTATCAATAATTATCAATCCATTGCTGATCTTGTTTTCTCTGTCCTCATTCATTCCCTCTTTCTGTATTACCGCCAAACAAAGCTTAGTCATACCATTTCTTCCATTAAAATCTTACTGTGTGTTTCTAAAACATAATGGCTCTTTAGGCTATGGTCTCGAAAGTCTTATCGAGCAGCAACAACAAAACTCTCTTATGTGGAGTCGAATGCAGGCGAAGCTCACATCCACAAACAATAAGTCTTCTATGGGTCATGGGCTCAGTCAGGCAGACAAGGCAGCCTCTTCATTCTTTTCCTGAGATTCTGGGACATCCTTGGAATAGCATTAATTCGAAGTGTCTCCACTATTCAGTCTTCCCAGAAAGGGTCACAGTGTGGCTAGTAGCTTATTTACAAAAAATGTTTAAGATGAATTATAGTCCTTTTATGAACTTGCCAATGTCTGGGCAGTACTTGCTTGGCCAGCACACACGTCCTTTGGCTTTACAACAGCAATAAAGATGTTTGCTGGCCACACAGACACAACCAGTAACTGAGAAATTCTACAATTCATCCCGAAATAATCAATTACCCCCCCCTTTTTCATTTTGCCAGAGGTTGTGTGCACTCGCCAAAGAGACAGAGAGTCAGAGTGAGAGAGGATGAGAGGGAAAGTGGGACAGGGGCACACTGTAACCCCTTCTCCTTCGCCTCTCCATCCTTTCAAGACACTGGGCCTGCACACACGTGCTCCTGGCATAGTTTTCAAGCCACTGGGTCTTGAACTCAAACTACTCAATCAGCCATGTGGGATCTGGCTCCCTTAACTGCCAGGCCATGGGCTGATCCCTGAAACCACACATTCTTTTACAGATGATAAATTCTGTACATTATGTGACTAAACTGAATCATAACTGTCTAGATAAAATTCATATAATGCTACAAAGATACTTGCTGTGTGTTCCTAGATGCAGAAAATTAATCTTCATTAAAACAATATATGAAGGTATAAAGGCAGTGATTTAAAAAATCCAGAGCCATAGAAGTCAAAGCACTGTTAGAAATATCTAGTTCATTTTCGCTCAGTCTACACTCCTGCATTAGCCAGAATACAACCCAGAATCAGATGACAAATTCACATTTAGATTATCCAAGAGAGTTCCATTCTTTATTTTGTATACATAGATATGGGCAAGATATAGACAAACCATGGGAGATGGTGCAGTGCCCTGGGTCTAGGAACACTGAAGCTGTTACCACCTCTAGACTTGGAGGAAGGAGAGGACAAATGGACAGCCAGATCCAGGAAGATGGGACTAAGTAATCAGGGACATTTGAAAAGAAGCTGTGATTCTCAGCCAAGGAACACAGAAACCCCCAGGTGACTCATAGGGAAGCAGGCAGAGGGCAGGGATATCCTAACTTTCCTCTGTTTCCTCTCTCTAATCTCTAGCTGCTATTCGAACCCAACTGGGTACAGTGGACAAGGATTCCATTGATGCAAACTATACAGGACAACTCCCTAGGTCTACAACAGATTAGAGAAGAGCAGAGAGTAGCGCTGGAGAGGTCAATGAAATTTGTTACAAGTTCCACACGGCCTCAGTTTTTCCTCTGAGGTCTGAGGAGCTGAGGTCAGTCACATCAGTGCTGAATGCTCACATGACTGGCTCCCAGTAAACACAATGGAGACCAATACTCAGATAATCTGATTGGTAATATTAGGTCCTATGAAAAGTCATGATGTGCTTTTGCACAGAAAATGATGTCATGACTTTTCCGATGACTGCTACTTCGTACAAGTTGTCACACATCGCTGTGTAGCGAATTAAGTCCTCCTTTGTATGACTCCACTGAGACAAAACAACTGTCAATAAAAGCTTGTTGATCTTTACCGGACTCCACCTCCTATACCTGTTCCCTTTGCTGGTTTTCATCTATATCTTTCTTTCTGTAATAAACGAAGAGTATAGCAGCTTGCCTGGGTCCTGTGAGCCCTTCTAGAAGATCACTGAACCTGAGGTGGTCTTGGAGAACCTCTGACACAGACACTATTTTACAATGAAGAAACAGAGGCTTAAAGGAAGTTAAACTACAGAGCAAGGGCTAGAATAGAGGATTCTAGTTCTGGATAAAAGATCAGATGATTTCCCCCATCTCTCTCTTTGAACATAGCCATAACTCCTGAAAAGAATGCATGGGGAAGGCACTTGAGGGCTCTGACAAATATTGGATTGTCAAAAAAAAGTCATGACACATTTTTGCATAGAAAAACAGAAAAATACACCAAAATACATCATGACTTTTCCAATGACCCAATAAACAGTGGCAAGCAAATTGCAGAAGGAGACAGAAGTCAAGGTTCTGCTGAATGGACAGCTTCAACTTTTCCCCCTGTAGTACTCTCCCTTTTTGTCCCTGGAGGCATAGAGAGCAGAGCCAGATAACTAACCCCAGCTTTCTGGCTAGAGGATGATAAAAGGAGTCCCAGGGAGCCAGAAAGTACCAAGGAAGTCTTGGAGAGGAAGGGATTAGGAAAACAGCTCATGACATTGTTTATAGATGGCAGGGCTCACCCCCAGGTATGAGTGCATAGATTTGATGCTGACTCGCATACAGGAGACTTCGAGAATGGAACTAGCGGACTGATGAGGAAGCAGGTGCCAGACTGGCCAATGAGTGGATCAGACTGGCCACATGTGGATCAGATCTGAGTAATATACAAAGGCTTTGAAGATGAAAACAAGTTTGAAAGCACAGTGAACAGAAGGTGAGTTGAAACTTCCAGCCCAAACATAACAGGTATATTCCCCATCACAACCAAAATATCAGCATTCTTCATAGGATTTAAACAAGATCCAAAGTTCTCATAATATAATATTCAAACTGTCCGGGAAATGATCCAAACATTTTCAGTATATGAAGGAAAAGAAAAATGTAACTCGTATGGAAAAGGAAAATTAACAGATGCCAAAAGCAAAAAGACATGGATATTGAAATTAATAATGGGGCAAAAACTTTTAATCGGCTATCATAAAAAGTCTACAGAATCACATAAGTAGAAAATACAAAGAAATACCAACTGAAAAATTTAGCACTGAAAAAGACAATGATCAAAATAAAAATGACCTCAACAGCAGAATAAAGCAGATAGAAAAAAGAATCAGTGAAATAGAAGATAGAATAGTAGAAATCACCCTATCTGAACAAGCAAAACAGACTTAGAAAAACAAACAATAACTAGAGCCTTGGGCTGGCATGGTGGTTAAGGACTCTGGACTCCCCATATGGCTGATCACGGTTCTAGTCTTG